CAATGAATACTATATATATATATATATATATATATATATATATATATATATATATATATATATATATATGTATGTATATATATATTATTGCTTTCTTTCTTTCTTTCTTTATATATATATGTATATATATATTATTGCTTTCTTTCTTTCTTTCTTTCTTTGCATCTTTAATTTGGCTAATTGATTGAATGTATGTGATTCATGCTCCAGCTTCTGATTACTATCAGTTCGATGACCTATTGACTCCCCAAGAGCGATCCGTCAAAATGAAAGTGAGAAAATTCATGGAAAAAGAAGTAGCACCTATAATCACAAAAGTACGTACGTTCCTTCTTAATTATTATTATTATTATTGTTTAATTTGTCAAGATCTAGTAGCTAGAAACTTGTGCTATTCTGCTTTCTTGATATAAAATTGAGAATTTAGTGACTACTTTCTGGTAGCTGATTTATGATCAAATTTGGGATAATCTATGAGCAGTAAGTAGTTGTTCAAATAAGGGAAAATGGCTAATATTCTACTCAGTATTAGCCCACAAACCACACTCTCGAATAGGTAAATCGTACTAGGAAGACTGAGTCAGTATCATGTTCTACCCGGCCGCTTAGCCACCTACTACAAATTAAAATTAAAATAATTATTTGAACTAAACTTGTGGTGCAGTACTGGGAGAAGGCAGAGTTTCCGTTTGAAATAATTCCCAGAATTGGGGGTTTGCATGTGGTTGGTGGCAGTCTAAAGGGGGAGTATGGGTGTCCTGCTTTCTCCATAACTGCAAGTGCCATCGTGTTTGCAGAAGTTGCTAGAGTTGATGCAAGCCTCTCTGTATTCGTTTTGGTTCATGATTATTTGGCAATGCGTACCATTGGTTAGTGTTCTGATAAGAGCTACATAATATACTATATGCTGCGTGCTAATATTATATTTTTGGCAGAATTTTATGGCAAGTTCATAATAACTCAATAATAATGATAATAATAGGAGTATGTGGATCTGAGATTCAAAGGCAGAAGTATTTGCCATCCATGGCCAAACTTCAAAGTGTGGGTTGTTTGGTAAGAATAATTATGTTTAATTTACTGTACTCTATCCTCCTCATATATGCATATATTCACATTTAACCATTTAATTTAATTTGTAATTATTTAGGGTCTGACAGAACCGGACTACGGAAGTGATGCAAGTGCTTTGAGAACGACCGCAAAGAAGGTCTGCATTATAGTAATTCTGAGCTTACCATATATATGATTTATGTTCATCATCTTTCATATATCTGGCTTGAACTTGAACTGTGCAGGTTGAAGGTGGTTGGATCCTTGAAGGCCAAAAGCGTTGGGTTGGAAACAGCACTTTTGCAGATATACTTATTATTTTTGCTAGAAACACCACTACTAAAAAGATCAATGCGTAAGTATAGTAGTAGACCACAGATATAGCTTTTATACATCAGATCAGATCCTAGCTATAAGTTCATCCATCTTCAACTACTTTAATTTAGTTTGGTTCTCACATATATATGCATCTTCGATCAATTCATTGTTTGCTGCAGATTCATAGTAAAGAAAGATGCTCCAGGGTTGCAAGCTACTAAAATAGAGAATAAAATTGGCATGAGAGTTGTTCAAAATGGAGATATTCTCTTAAACAAAGTATTTGTACCGGATGAGGATAGACTCCCAGGTGTAAATTCTTTCCAGGATACAAAAAAGGTAAGTCCTTTTGTTTTGAGGGGAGGGTGATAAGGCCGGGAAACTCACAGCCACTACTCGAGACTCGAGAGTGATCAGTCGGTAAATGCATGCCAACAAATTAAAGGAACACAAGGAGGTATACCAGCCTAGGTTGCCAGGCCAATAGCCGACTGGCTCAAACTAAGAATGCCAATAGGCATCTCCTATTGATGGTCGAACTTGTAACATTGTGATTTCAAGTTAATAGTCTGACCAACTTGGCTGTGGTTGTCTCTATTTACTTATTTGTTCAGATGGCGTGGTGGTTGGGTTAATGATGATATGGTTGCAGGTTCTTGCTGCTTCTCGTCTCATGGTTGCATGGCAACCTATTGGCATTTCAATGGGTGTTTATGATGTGTGCCACAGGTATATTCATCCCTCCAGATACTATATATAGATCGTACGTTTAAGGTTGTCATCAGTTGTTGTTGCTTCAATTCTGGGATGCATTCCGTTCGGATGATAAAATTGTTAAAGCCCGCTCGCAGGTACTTGAAAGAGAGGAAGCAGTTTGGAGCTCCATTGGCAGCTTACCAACTGAGCCAGCAGAAGTTGGTAAAGATGTTGGGAAACATTCAGGGGATGTTTCTGGTCGGTTGGCGCCTCTGCAAGTTGTATGAAACTAGTAAAATGACAGACGGTCAAGCTAGCCTGGGCAAAGTAATTTTTACAAACTTTAACTACATACATATATTCCATCTTAAGTTGTTCTCACCAAATGAGTATTGAACATCTTTCATCCATTTTCAGGCATGGATTACCTTGAAGGCAAGGGAAACTGTTGCTCTTGGGAGGGAGTTACTAGGTGGCAACGGAAACTTGGCTGACTTTCACATCGGAAAGGTATGCAAACGTTTATAAAAGTATTACATATTTGTCTCACACAAGATCAATTGTTACATAAATGATTCTTTTATTGTTTTTCTTACCCGTTGAAATTTAAATTTCAGGCATTTTGCGACATGGAATCAGTGTATACATATGAAGGTACCTACGACATTAACACTCTAGTAACAGGGAGAGAAATAACGGGTATTTCTAGTTTCAAACCAGCTACTTTGAGCACAGGGAGTCGCCTTTAGACCTATAAATCTCTGGAGTCCATCAAATAAAAGTGCTAGGTCCGGATGACCTAGTGTCTTACACTACAATAAAAATCAAATTTACCTACGAAAAAATTCGTAGATAGGTAAATTATGAAATCCGTATGTACTTAATTTACCAACAAATTTTGTTTAGGTAAAAAAATATTAAAATCTGTAGGTATTATTGTTGTTGTATTGTTGTGATTATGATTGTTGTTATTGTTATTATGCTCATAGAATTGTGTAAGGAACTAAAGATACTAAGATACCACATAAATGATCATTTATCACTACTGGAAACTAATGCAATCATCATCCAAAGACCGAATTAAATCATAATAATCATAAGGAAACATGTAGCAATTCAGATACCTTTGCGACCGATGCAACAGAGATCACAGGCAAAGTCCCCTTTTGTGTGCCATATGACCCCACAACAATTAGAGTCCATTACTAATCTTGTTCTCTGGTTGAATAATATTTTATAGGAAAAAGTGTCAAATTGGCCCCCTAAGTCGAATGGATAGTGCAATTGGGTCCCCTAAGTGAAAAAAGCTCCATTCAGGTCCCCTAAACCTGTAAAATTGTTCAATTAAGTCCAAATTGACTTGTTTATCAGGTTAAATGCATACGGTGTTGAAACGTGTCTTTATTTTATTTTTTTTATTAAAAATATTATTTATTATAAATTAATTAAAATAATAATAAAAATAATAATAATAAATAATTTTTTTTAAAAAAAGCCGTTGTCATCCAGCCACAGCCGTCTAAGGAAGACAGTCGTTCCAGTCTACTACGTCTAGAACGAAGGCGGCGACGAAGGCCGTAGTCCTCGTCTAGATCTAAAAGACGATCATGGTCATCTTCAATTCCTTAAACAGCCGTGGCCGGACAGCCACCAGCTGTCCGATGTGGACAGCCGGTGGTTGTTTTTCGTCTAAGGAAGACAGTCGTTCCAGTCTACTACGTCTAAAACGAAGGCGGCGACGAAGGCCGTAGTCCTCGTCTAGATCTAAAAGACGATCATGGTCATCTTCAATTCCTTAAACAGCCGTGGCCGGACAGCCACCAGCTGTCCGATGTGGACAGCCGGTGGCTGTTTTTTTTTTTTTTTTTTTTAATTTTTTTAAAATTTTTAGTTATTATTATTATTATTATTATTATTATTATTATTATTATTATTATTTTAATTAATTTATAATAAATAATATTTTTAATAAAAAAATAAAATAAGGACACATGTCAACACCGTATGCATTTAACCTGATAAACAAGTCAATTGGAACTTAATTGAACAATTTTACAGGTTTAGGAGACTTGAATGGAACGTTTTTCACTTAGGTGACCCAATTGCACTATCCATTCGACTTAGACCATCTCCAACCCAAAACACCAAATTCTACACCAAATTTTACACCCAAATTTTACACTAAAAAGAATATTCCCAGCATATTCTTACACCAAATTTTTTTCATCTCCAACCCATTTACACCAAATTTTATTCCTACACTAAAATAATTTATATTCTCATAAATTAAAAGTTTATATTCATACTTTTATTATTTTAATATAACATATAATTGTAATTTAATGTAATTTAATAAATTAAACTTTAATTATGTTTTATGTAATTTTATTTTTAATTAAATTATATTCAATATTAGTCTTATTTTAATCGTTTTGATGAGATCTTTCAAATGGTATAATTTATTTTTAATTATTCAAATTTTATATTTATGTATTTAATAAAATATGTAAATCCACAAAAACAAAATAAGGATACAAAAGGAATTAATAAAAAAGACCAAGGGCAAATGTGGAATGCAAATGGCCTCACTATTTTAGCGTAAAGCTACAGTGCAACGCCAAATATGGCGTTGCACTGTAGCTTCACGCCAAAATGGCACCCAATTTGGCGCTTTCATTGGAGAGAATCCAGCGCCAAATTGGACGCTATTTTGGCGTTGGTGGCCAAAATAGCGCTCCATTGGAGCTGGCCTTAGGAGGCCAATTTGACACTTTTTCCTATTTTATATGCCCTGTGGTTTGTGGAGTATCCAAGGAAGAAGGTTAAGGCAGCATGGTTCACCTTCCTAATTAATTAACTCAATTCACCTGTAACAACTAACAAGGTGACAAAATCTGCCCCAATACTCCAACAGCCAAAGAAGAAAGAGAAAGTTAGAAGCAAAGGGAAGCCTTATTTAATTGCAATTGCAATTTGCAATGTGTTAATATATTACAATAGTACTAGTTGATCCGGGAATTCATTTTGAATTGGCATCTAAACTCTCATTCTCAAACTAGACCAATATGGCACTATGATTATATGCTATTCCACTGTGTCATATAACTCAGGTGCTTCTTTGTCCAGCAAACCAACATCTTCAACAGAACCGATGTCAAATTTCATTTGCAGTTATTGGGTTCTACAATGCACCAAGAGCATCATATCATATATATTTATCTTTATCGGGTCACAGATGTCAGTAGTCCCCCTTGGTGAACTACTGGCCGCTACCCTGAAGAAGGGGACAAACAAAAACAAGATTTCAATGTTCAACTCTTCAGAAAGATCACATTAAAATATATATATATATAATATAGTGAAAACTAGGGGTGTGTTTGGTTCCCACATAGGAATCGGAATCGGAATGGGTATCAAATACTTGGTAATGGTAATGAGTTTTGGTGAAAGTATTTAACATGTTTGGTAGTAGGGTGGAATGGGAATGGTTACTAATAGTGGTGCTTGAGAATGGATAAGGGAATGAAACCCTTATTGTATTTGGGTATGGATTTTTCAATTGATGAGGAATTCGATACCCATAGTAGTGTTCTAAAAACCTATCAACCAAACAACAACAATCACTTTCATACCCATTCCTATGGGCAAAACCCACCAACCAAACACACCCTAGTTTTGTACCTTTGAATACAGCTAGATACAAGCCTGCCTGCCAAATGTATCAACCAAGCACATCATGGATCGATATATTCAGGGAAAACAGCCTTGCCAAGATAAACTTGTCGCATCTCCTCCCTCCAGATCTGGAACAACAAAATTAGATATGTCATATTACAGGAGAAATACTGACCGAGCAGTGTGCAACTTTCTCAAAGCAGTGAAAGCACACTATCCAGAAAATTGGCATCTATTGCCTTCTGCACTGGGCTTGCTGAGCCATCAATTTCAGTGATGGATATTGCTTGTAATTGTGGAAGGGCCGTACTCCAAAAGAAATGAGCATTTACTTTTTTTTTATTTAAAAAAAAAAAAATATATATATATATATATATATATATATATATATATATATATATATATTATGATGAATAGTAGTGGGTTGCTCAAAGCATGAGTAGCAGGGATCCATTACATAATTTGGAGAATTTAAAGTCTAAACTTACTTAGTTTGACTCAGGAGATGAGGAAGGCACATTTAAATAAAATTGTTCGGGAGAAAGTATTACCATTTCTCGGAACTCCAGCCGGATATGAGGCACATTTGTCCTATGAATATCATTACCATTTGGACCTCTCCAAAAGTACTCCTTCCCAATCCAGTGAGACTACAATCAAAAAATTGAAAGGTAGGCTCAATAAGAGGAAAGAAAAAAGAGATCAAATTCTTATCCTGTTTCACACTTCAAAATTACATAAATATGCATTCTCAGCTCTACAAAATCAATAATCCCAAAAACATGCTCACCTTCAGAGCATGAGAGAAACCAGATTGGTAGACTGAATTACGGGCAATCTCACATAGATCACATGAACTTAACTTCCACACCTGTATTATCCAAGGTGCTAACTTGAAAACTTACATTATAAGAACTTTCAGTACACCGACAGTAAAAGGGTAACTAGGTACTTACAGAAGCAGCTATACTATACTCTTCCACCAATGGCTCTTTAGTTAGGTGGATTTGTAATGGATCATCCGTTGAAAGAGAAACATTAAGGCCCCGCAGAAAGAACAAGGGAAAAGGGTTCCGGTGATAGTCCAAGAATAGGGAATTATTACTTAGAGGAGACATTGCCAATCCAATCTGACATCAGTGGGCATAGCTAGTTATAAAGTGCCACCATTAAAAATTACCACCATTATATATATATATATATATATATATATATATATATATATATATATATATATAATACACACACACACACATATATATATATATATACACACACACACACACACATATATATATATATACACACACACACACACACACATATATATATACTTTCTCGTGTTTTACCTGGGCTAGATAGTACAAGTACTGAAGTACAGGAGATTTTCTCAAATTGATTCCATGAGCAATGTTATGAGCTGTAAGAAACGTTGCAGCAAGGTGATCAATGTCTCCTGCCTGAAAGTAGCATATTATCTCAGCAATTTGCACAGCCTATAACCCATTGGAACGGTAAACAAAATTTGTGCAGCTATACTACCTCTCCAGAATGTGGGCGGAATTTGATAACTGTCATGCCCTTCGATTCACGAAGCTGAGAGATGTCACATTCCAAAGATCAAATATCAGAATAGGATTTTATAAGTTTGCATCTGATCATAAATATTCAGCAATGCATTAGACAGTCCTTGTGATAAGTCCAGTCTAGCTTACCAAACATCTAATTTTTATATGATAATCATTACCAAAATGTGAAGGTAAAGTCAATGCTAAACACACTCCGCCTCCCTCCACCCTCCCAAGGAGATGCAACGTTTCAGGAAAGACAAATGAAATTTGAATAGTCATGCTAAAAGATCTTACGAGTAGAAGAGTTGCAGCTCAAACATTAAAGTGAGAAACCCCTCTTTCACGTCATCAGTGACTGAAAAACACCGGTATATCCCAAAGTACAGCAAAGTTCACAAAAAAAAAAAAAAAAAAAAAAAAAAAAAAAAAAAAAAAAAAAAAATGCAGGATACAACATTGTTGTAGACAGAGGGGGAAGTGAGGAACACCATATGGCTCTTCTCTTTCTCTCTATTTTTTTCTATATCATAGATATAACCCCGCTCACATTTCCCCACTCCTCCCGCCCAACACAACACAACTAAAACCATTTCAATCTAGATGCAGTGCCGAAAAGGATTATATTTCTCAAATTGGCAATCTTCAATGAAAACTTATATCCAAGTTTTTGGTCTGATCTCCCTTGCCTACCACCTACTACCACGTTATCACTTGCAAATTGCAATACATTTCCTAGTCTTTAGTTCAAGTGGAATAAAGGAGGAAAGTGAGTAAAGAATCACATTCAGGTCCAATATGTACCTTATTAAGGGTGTAGAGGTTAGCATAACAATAGTAGACATAGTACGAATATGCAGGATTGAATGCGTTAGTCCACTGATCTGGTGTGGGCATGTGTTTTGTTGGCCTTCTTTCTGGCTTGCTTTCATCATCCACCAAATCTAATCCAACTACCTGCAAATTATTCCATTGCTTAGTAAAATATTTCCACCCAATTGTTGCTGAATCCAGAAAAATGTGGGTTTACATACACACACACACACCACAGATACATTAATTCAGCTGGCCAGTCATACCAGTCATACCAGAAGGCACAAGATAAAATTACCAAAAAGATAAGTATTGAGTACAACTATTACATTAACTGAGAAGATACCTGCTTCAAGAAAACATGTAGCTGAGGATGTGAATCTGGATCAACAGTAACTTCAAATAAAGGAAGAAAGATATTGTCAAGAATGTTCTGAAACGATGTCACGATACCCATTTCCTTGTACACATTGTAGAGTCTAGGAAGCTGGACAAATTAAATAAATGCTAATAAGAACCAGAACATTCAAAAAAGCACAAATAAAAAAAACTCGATGGATGTAATATGCTTATCTCAAAAATATGACAAATGTATAATGATATCAACCTTACAGAGAAAATGACAATTCTAAAAGCCCATTTCATTGACAGAATGAAACAAGGAATAGAAATAGAGTTCCAAAAGGAGTGGAATATAAAGTGGATTCTACTCCCAAGGTTTGGTTCATAAATAAAAAAAAAATACAGAGCAAATTCTGTAGTCAGTATATCAGCATTTGGTTTCTTTAACCAAGATTAGGGAGCATACCTGTATCAACCAAACAACATTCTCACTGTACAGCTCATTGTTCACAATCCAACTTGCCAGTTGGTCCCACTCACTCATCTTTCTACCATAAATTGATATTCTGTATTCAGCCATCTGCAAGGCAAATCATTGAGAGAAGAAAACTAGCAGAAGGGCAGCCATTCAAATCACAAAAATAAGCAGATGAGATGCAAGCATCTTCCAGCATAATCTACTTTGAATCAAAGATTAAAAGAAGAAAAAAAAATACCCAACACACTGGAGTGAAGGAGGATATCTCAAATGAAATGAGAATAGTTGATACAATTGAAGATAGACACACATGGGCATCAACACTCTATCAAGATATGTTTCAAGAAAGCTTGGAATTTAAAATTTAAAAAGTAAAACAAAAACAAAAAACAGAGAGAGAGAGAGAGAGAGAGAGATAGGGCCCGTTTACTAACAGAAACTGTTTTCTGTTACTATTTTCTGTTTTCTAATTTTTCAGCTTTCATCTGTTTTCCGTTTAGAAAACTTGTTTACATCACTTATTTTTTCAAATTTATTTTTTTAGATTAACGTTATAAAATTAACACAAGTTTAATTTTGAGTGATTTTTAGCCTTATATTTAAAATATTTTAAAATATATTTGGTTTAAATAGAATATATATATATATATATATATATATATATATATATTTTACTTTTAAGTCCAATATATGTAAGATTTTTACATTTGATATCCGAACAAAATTTATATCTGTATATAACATAACTAAAAATATATCGGTACCAATAACCTATTAAGTTCACATAAAATTTAGTTTAAATAATATTAATATTTTTTGAGCTAATATTTAAAATATTTTGGATATATTCATTTCAATGACATGTATATAAATATATAATTTTTATTTGAATTATAATATAGTAATATATGTGAAATTTCAATATCTGATATCCAGACCAAACTTGTATTACGATATAACATAACTAAAAATATCCGAACCAATAATCAATTGAGTTCAATCAAAATATAAAACTTGGTATAGATTTTAATTTTGATCATGTAAATAATGTCTAACTTTAAGCATAAGCAAATAAGTTATGTTTTAAATAAGTAATGCAAGTAGAAAATATAGAAGATGGTGATAAGTAAAAGAAGATGATAATGAATGTAATCATGGTAATGAAAAAATATGTAAGTAAATAATGGTTAGAATGTGGTTATAGTGACATATAGTCAAATAGATGATTATGTTTCCCATTTAGAAAACAATTTTTAATAGTTTTCCAATTTTCTAGAAATTGCTAAAAATGAAAAATTGTGCTAGTAAAACATGTTTTCTGTTCTCCAATTTTGGAAAACTAGAGAAATTTTCCAGTTAGTAAACGGGCATAATGTCCCAATCATTTTTAATGACTTATCAAAACAGGTATATTCACATAGAAGGCCAAGAATATATCAAAGAATGATATTTTTTTATTTTTTATTTTTTTTTTAAAAAAAATCCTCCTCATTTTATTACACCATTTGGTTCACTACAAGCTCTAGGACAACCACAAGAATTAAGAACTTCCCAGAAATAAACAAGGACCCTATCTCAAGCTCCATCATCATACTAAGTTATTAACTTCATAGTTCATATAATTACTTTCCTTTAGAATTTCATGTACAATAACAATGGAAACAAAAAATGTATAAAATATTACTATTAAACAAGATACGAAAGAATTTGAAAGCCTGAATATCATAGATGCACCTGATATTTACTTGCTGAAAGATCTGAAAATACTTGCTTTGTCAACTCACCAAGAAAGCGGCCTGTTAAATAACAACGCAATGTAAAATACCAAGACCATAAATAAAGCCAATACACCACAATAAACAAGTCCTTCACTTTAATGATAGATTGAAAATAGCTATGATCAATAAAAAGCAGAGCTAGTACAGCTCTTAGTACCACATGAACCTAAACCTTTACTATCCAAACCCCCTCCGCATCCCTCCCCAAACACACACACCCAAAAAAAAAAAAAAAAAAAAAAAACAGAAGATGAGATGAGAGCATACCCTGGATAAGATTATCCTGCTTCAGAAAAATTTCCCTGAGCCTACTTTGACCACAAGGGTTGTACTTCAAATTGAATTTGTCAAAACGGTGGAAGGTGCTCTTGTCAGCATGGACATCTAATAGGTCAACATTCAGGTCATACCTGTTAGATCAATATATATAAGCTTTGAGCAGTGAAACAAGTGAAGCCACGTGAGAAGAAAACACTTAACCAAAAACTCAGAAGATTTGAGCAGTGAAACATGTACAGCCATATAACAAGATAATAGTTTAAGCCTAAACACGGAAAATCTTCATTTACCCAGTCAAATCCAAGCTCTCAAAGACCTCCTTTAAGGTCATATATGTCCCATCACGAAATATAACAACCTGCACCAAACAATTGAAAATCCAGTGAAAATGAATAGAGAATAATTAATTATCAGAACATCATTAGCCAAGAGTAGTTATTTACAAGATTAAACTTCACATTTTCTTTGTATGTGACTCACATGTCCAATAACCTATACTTGAGTCTAAATAGAAGAGTTATATCACATATGAAGCTTTCAGGAGGATCAGTCGGAAACTATAACAGAAAGTACCTCATCAGGCTCTTTCCTTAGCTTTGACTTTATAAATCTCAACAGATGTTTCTGGTTCATGCATGCTGAATGATGAACATGGGTATCGACCTTTCTGACATTATAGAAGTCACGATGTGGTGCACTTTTTTGAGCTAGGAATTCTCTATCCGCATTAAGCATTAAGTGAAGGTTGAATTTCTACAAAGTTGGAAATCCATATATCAAATTGGGATATTTTACATGGCATACAAGAAGTAATAGTATATGACGTACTTGTTCTAGAAGCACTAGTCGATGGTGGCATAGAGTTCGGATGTTCCCAGCTGCTATGACTTTAAGGATATGATGCAGGTCAGTGAAGAAAGTAGTTGCATCGGCAACAGGAAAAAGTTTCTCGTTTGCTGTTGTGAGGGTAAACAGATTGAGAAACACAGAAATAGAAAGAAAAGGAGAAGGGAAATAACTGACAGAGAAGACATTCAAAATCTTATGAAATCAATAACTTATGCAAGGATAGAAAAAGGAAGTATTATATCTTACAATCTTTATTTGCATAAACATGGATAACTCCTTCTTCCATCTTGAAATGATGCTGCAAAATAGTTCAAAGCATGGAACAGATTCAACCAATTAAAATACTAGAACTTGGTTTGATAATTGCATAAAGCGTTGAGCAATAGCAACATGTAAAGCACAAATTGCTAGGTACATGTATTTGAGTTTAAGAACTTACATCAGATTTCCCCTCTGACATGTAGTCAAATGGATTTAGGTTAGGCTTTGGTGTACTGGGATCAGATATTATTTCCTTCTCCCAAGGAAGGACAGCCTCCCTAAATACATAACTATGTCTCATTTCAAGGCAAACTTGAAGATTCCGGTATACATCAATTTCATCAGGAGATGGTGTCTCTGGAAATAATTGTAAAGTATTCAAATAACAGGAACTTGCCTTAATGTGCAGATGACAATAGGTGAGATGCAATTAATAAAAATGACTCAGGTGAGGAGAGGAAGAAATACCCATTGGGGAAATTTTCAACCGCACAAAAGTTTCTTGCTCTGGCTCTTTCCTCAGTATGTCTGCAGCTATGGGATCAGGTTGAACACCATGTAGGTCACCAGATACACTATGAGAGCGAATCATACTCGGTGCAGGTAAAGGTACTTGTTCCACATTGACATGGTCAGGCAAATTCTTGTACATCCCTTCACGCTCTGGTCCCTGTTCATATAAGGTAGGGTTTGGAACATAGTTTGGTGGGAAGAAGTGAAAAAGGTAAGAATTAAGATATGTCATCAATCACTACATTACCACATTTCCATTGGTATGAAGATAGCTAGTATCAAGTTTGGTGTTCTCAGTCATATTATCTTCCTCGTCAGATCCTTCCATGCTTTCAAATGCACTCGCACTAGCAACCGGAGACTTGGGAGAAGTAGGCCGCAGTGGATGTCCAGCTCTTTTAGTCGAACCCACATGACCAGATTTCCCTAAAGCAAAAGCAGAGAACTCTCTTGGTGAACATAATATTATAATGAGAAACACAAGCAATTAAAGAATGAATCAAAAAACAGCAGGATTTTCCTAAAGAAAAACCTGAAAACAGTCATTGACAAGTAAGAACAAGTTAATTAGCAGGTCAATACAAATAAGACAAAATTTATTATTCTAAAAAATAAAAAGGGAGAATAACAGATAACATCACACAAGAAAAGGGGGAAAGCAACTTTGCCAAAGCCAACTATATGATGCAATCACGATTTGATAGTATGGTTGATGATTAAAATAAGATTACTCTGAGGCACCACCTGTCTGCATAGTTCTTGCTTTCCCAGATTTCTTTTGCCTTCCTATGTCTCCATCATGTTGTAAAAAATGGGGGCTCAAAGGAAACACTAAGAAATTTGTGGAACATGTAACATCAAACACATTGAAGGCCAAATTCATTGTTCTTAGCATATGGTATAAATGGGACTCTGATGTCTTCTTGATTTGTTTTATCATTCAGTTTGGCTCTCTACTTAATCTTTCCATTCAATGATCGCCAAGCACTATGTATCATTGATCAATTGGTTGAAGAAAATCTAGAACTACTAGCGAGTCTCAGAAGATACCTTCAAGACTGACTAGAATGGACTTATGTGTCATTGATCAATTGATTGATCAATAAGGCTTGCCAATCAAAAACACATTTGTACAGTACAAGACTTGTAACTGCAGTCAATTTGCTAAGATTCAATATAGAACATTCTTAAACACAGGGAGAAGTCTTATAAATCCATCTAAGTTGATTGTCCCTATATAACAAACAAAACATAGAAATCACATATAAGAGATGATTCATGTAGAAATTTTCATTTTTGATTCAATGAGAACTTCCTTAAGGAATTTCCTTTTTTTTGAAGGGAAGGAATTTCTTTTTTAATTGCACTTGAATTGATTTTTTCAGTTTCTCTTCCATATGGTAAGAGTAAAATATTGGTGGCTGACTCTTGCACATAAAACAAAACGACAGGCACAAATCAACTTTTAGAAACAGGTATGAAATTGATAATCTTATAATTCCTGGAGCTCCTTTATTTGGGTTAAAATTATATAAGTAAGGTTTGCCATGAAAGAAACTTGAATGAGCAAGGCAGTTCCTAAGAAAGAAAATAAATAAAGGATAAAAATCATGGCAGAATAATTACATGCTAATCCAAATATATCTCCAGCTAAAGGCTTGAAATTACAATCTGACAAATAGAGGTGGAAAAGGAAATGAACAACCAACTACAAGTTCTTCCTGTATAAATCACACAATCACTCAATTTGCAATTTGCTAAAATATGGTGACAGAGAAAAAAAAAAAATGTTTAGATAGGATAATTAGGCTGCACAAATTGGCTTTCAGCGTATAACATAAAACAAATCGTCCAGTGACATCCCCTTTCCTCATAAAAGAAATTTCCCAGTGTGTCAGCAGTGCTCAATCAGAGAAATATTGAGAGTGATATGAGTAACCGAAATGGCAACATTTTCTTATATTATCCCCTGACAAATATCAATATGCGCAATCCGTATATCAGGTTAATATTGCGACGACAGTCCGACGTATGCATACCTTCAGGAAGAGTGTGAAGCCTGGGCAAGCCAAGCGGTATAGAATCCACATGAAGCGGACCGTTCCTCCTATCATCCACTTCGACGCCGCCCGAACCAGAAATCACGGTGACGTCGGGCAAGGAAGCGGATGCGCGGCGGTAATAGCCATTTCCTTTCCGCCTGGCATAACTCCGCCGCCTCTCCAACGAACCGTACTTCTTCAGGAGCTGCGGCGAGTCGGCTCCGTCCTCCTCCGCGTCATCCCTGTCCCTTTCCATGGTCTTGGCGAACTCCAATAGCTGATTTAGGGTTTTCCGGTGCATATAGTACGCCGATACCGCCACCACCGACGCTCCCACCAGTGCCGCCATGGCCAGATGCATAGCATAAGCGTCCATCTCTCTCTCTCTCTCCCTCCCTCCCTCCCTCCCTCTAGACCGCAATACACCTCAACCGAAACAGAGTATTATAAAACGCAATACCTGTATTGTATATATATATATATATATATAAATATCACAGTGAAAGCGCTGCGAAACCCTACTGAATAGTAGAGATATATATATATATATAAATAGATAGATAGAGAGAGAAAGAGAGCACTGCGTTCGTAGTGACGAGCTGGTGAATTTATAAGTGCGCGAGGAGAAGGTCTCGCATTATATTCGTTTATTATGCGATTTGGCTGCCTTTTGTTCTCTCTCGCTCACTCTATCTAAAATATTTGAAGATTTGCAGCGACTCTCTGCTGTCTCTCGCGTCGTATCTATTCGACGCTTTGCACTTTTGCAGTGCCTTCAACTCCACAACCAGTAAAAATTTCCTGAGTTATTTAATAATTGATCATATGTTTTTTTCCTGAGTTTTTTTTTTTTTGTTTTGTTCTTTTCCTGACTTTGTGGGGATGAAGGTGGGGTGGGGTTGGGTTTTTTTTTTTTTTATGAAGAAAGATCATAGATTAAATAACATCCAAAGACAAAGCATTATAGATTATATGGACAAATCACTCAGTATAATTATACAGAAAAGTGAACAATCTAACTAGCTCATAAGCTGCTCGACAGAAAAGTGAACAATCTAACTAGCTCATAAGCTGCTCGATTCGTTGATCGTTTAGAACAGTTTATTAATAGATGATGAATCGATTCTGTCTCAACTCAACTCCACAAAATAGACATTCAGCATCACAACTCACCCTCTTACTCCTCAATATCCATCTTCCTTCTGCTTACCTCAATTTGAGGTTGAAGATTTCTATGGAGCTCCTTGCCCCAAACCCAGATTGCATGGCTATGGAGCTCCTTGTCCCAAACCCAGATTGCATGGCTACATAAATTGATTATGGAACAGATATTCATACCTGAGGAGGTATCCCAGCTACTACGAGTAAGCCTAAGCTGATAGTTGGATTGCACGTTAATGACTATATGCTCACAGAAACAAATATATGACTATATGAGTGGTCTATGAATGTTAAGAGTGTTAAGAATTTTGTATAAATTAACTAACTCTTTATTTTTGACAATTTGTAGGTATATTTTCATTTTCAAAGCTTATACAACATTTTATATACTATTGTCACATTTTGATAATGAGAAAATAACATGTTTTTCTCCTAAATTATTTTATTTTTAAAAAGTTGGCCCTTATTAATTGATTTAAATAGATTTAGTTCCTTAATTATCTATTATGTTTCATTTTCAATATCTAATGTTATATAATTATCAAACTCTTATTTTTGAGGTTATCTTTGTCATTTAGAATAAGTATCTGTGATTAAAGTTTCACTCTCTCAATGTGAACATCATTTATTGATTATAAATGATAATAATCTCATATATTAATGGTGTTTAACAATTTTATAACATTAAGAACTAAAAGTACAACATTATAAACAATTAAGAGACTAAATTTGTTTAAATTATTATACATGGACTAACTTTCCAAAGTAAAACAATTCAAGAGTTAAAAGTGTCCTTTTTTTCTAATTTAATTTGATTGTATGTTATGATAATATTTTTACAATTCAGATTAAACTATATGTTTGATTTATATGGAAAATAGGCATTTGGTTAAACTTTTTTTTCTTCTTTGGGAAACATTGTATTCATTTACTGTGTTTACTTTTTGAGAAAAGTAAATTGTTAGCAAAAAGTTAAAAGTTCACAAACTACGGAGTATATAGTTTGTTTTTCCCCTCAAAGTAGGGAACCCCACAAGACAAAACTGTAAAATTGGATGGACCAATTAAACTAGGGAAAATGACACTTTTTTCCCCTTTGTTATATACTTATAGCACTTTTTCCCCCTAAATTATTTAAGTGGCAGTTTTTCCACCTGATATATTAAATGGACATATTTACCCTTAAAATAAATATTTCATTTATTTTTCTTCTCCAACAAATTATAACCACGATTTGAAAAAATGAAATACATTAAGTGTTGAATTTAGAATATTTTAAAAATAAAAAAAAAATTAAAAGAAATTTTGAACCAACCGTTCAAATTGGATCCAAAATCGTGAACCGAAGGTTCAAAATAAAACTCAAACCGCGATTATATATACTTATGTGAGAGTCAATATAAATGCGGAAAAAGACATATACTATTTACAAATATTATAATTCTAATTTAAGCTATTGCTAGTAGTTGTTTCAATTTGAACCTCCGGTTCACGGTTCAAGATCCATTTTTTTCAGTTCACGATTTTAATAAACGGAAACCCAAATATTGGGTTATGTTATAAATCATAACCGAAAATTTTTAATTTGATTGCTATAGTGTTTGGTTCAGTTCGAACCGAACCATGGTCATCCCTACGTATAAGCAATAATTTGTTGAAGAAGAGAAATAAATAAAATATTTGTTTTAAGGGTAGGAATGTCCATTTAATATTATCCGGGGAAAAACCGCCACTTCTATAATAATTGAGGGGGCAAATGTGAATGCATGAATAACTCAGTGGGAAAAAGTGCTATAAGCATATAACACATGGGGAAAAAGTGCCATTTTCCAATTAAACTATATTGCGACATCTAGTCAGCACTTGCTATGCCAGCACATATCCTAGTACAAAACGTAAACCTAAATAAGCAAATGTTTATGTGTATGCAATATTATGAATTATCGTGATTTACATCGTCTCACACACTGGTAAAGGTGAGCATCGATCGGTTACCGTTAATAACCGACCGATAACTGAATAACCGATGGCATTTTTTAAATCTCCATAACCGACCGAAACCGACCGAACATACACTCTTAACCGACCAAAATCGACTATTCGGTTAACCGAATAACTGAACATTCACAAGTAATATAATATAATATAATATAATATTATATATATATATATATATATATATATATATATATATATATATATATATAGCTACTGTACGTATATATTAGCTACATTCACAAGTAATATATATTAGCTCATGTACGTATATATACAAATTTACAGTAACTAAATATATATATATAATATATACGTACAGTAGCTATATATATATATATATATATATATATATATATATATATATATATATATATAGCGTCGGTTATTCGGTGATCGCGGTTATTACACCTTCATAACCGATAAATAACCGAATAACTGATAAATAACTGAATTTTTTTTAAGGCTTATAACTGATAACCGAAATTATCGGTAGATTTGGTTATCGGTTATCGGTTTTGTCGATTTTTCGGTAATTATGCTCACCCCTATACAGTGGGGTCTTAGGATTGGAATAAATGGTAATGGGTTTTGGTGAAAGTATATTTTGCTTGTTTGGTAGTAGGGTGAAATGAGAATGATTATCAATATTGCTATTTGGTTATGTATGGGAAGAATAATGGAATGAAATTCTTATTTTATTAATTAGGAAGTGTTCTACAAACCTGCCAACAAATAACAAATAACCAATTGAGGTTCACTGCGCACAAGGAGTCCCCTCATTTTGAGAAGTCTAATGAGACTAGATCATTGGTCTCTTGTGATAAATTTCACCCTGACCAATTGAAGTGCCTAAGTGGGCATCACATGTCATTAATTTACTAGTAGCATTGGATGTATATAATTTGACAATAAATGAATACTAAAATCAAAATTAAATTAATGTAACTACAGTATGAGAAAATAATGTATATATTTAAATTGACGCTTAGCATGTTTAAGTAGTGGATAGGCCGGCGGGTCCATCGATAGGTCGTGGGGAAGATTTTTGATGGAGTGGATTGTGTATAGTCCTTTTCGTTATCCATTTGATTGCGAAATGAAACGGAGAGCCGGAGAGGTGGATCACATGCTCAATTTGCGTCTTATTATTTACACATATGTTACCAAAAAAAGAACTATTTCTTTTTTTCCTTTTTCACCTCATAATTATAATATATGATTTCTCACTTTTAGTTATTTAACTATTAATTCACTCACTTTTGATCATCTATATATATATATATATATATATATATATATATATATACACACACACACACACACAAACACATTCAGGTAAAAACAGCCCTTAAAATAAAAACGTGTGGACTTATTATCACCGTAAGATCTTCATTAATTCTGTACGGTTTCTGATTAGCTTTTGGTTGTCTGTGTTTTTTATTTTGTCCATGTGATTTTTATTCTTATGTGGTGATGTTTTTGTGATTTTACAGCTACCTCAATGTGAGTCCACCCCTGACACCGTGGTCTTATATTATTGTTGGTCCATAAATAAATATGATGATATGTAATTATTTATTATAATAAATAATCTTAATTTATGTAGTCTGATTACACCTTTGTTACCATTCTAAATGGTTGGTTACAGGATTGAGCTCTGGTTGTGGAGACAATGATTCTTTTGGGTTAAAATTATTGAAAAAGTATAAAATAGATACTACCTTCTAAACATATTTGGTTTTTAGAATAGGTCAAGAATAAAATAATATTTATGGAAATAACCTTTGTATTGACTTTTTTTGTCTTGAGAATAGTGTTCATGGGAATGAGTAATTCCCTTTGTAGGGAACTAGTCATTCATAGGGGACCTAATATATTTAAATAAATTATAAATTCAATAATAATAATAATAATAATAATAATAATAATAATAATAATATTATTATTATTATTATTATTATTATTAAAACCTATTATTTATTATTATCACAGTAATAATATTATAATAACATTATTATTTATTATTTATTCCTTTCTGTCTCTACCAACATAACTAGTGAAAGTAGTGATTGAACTTTCGGTAAAAGTTGTCAATATTATTATTATTATTATTATTATTATTATTATTATTATTATTATTATTATTATTATTATTATTATTATTATTATTATTACAGTAATTTTATTATAATATTGTTTTAATTATTATTTATTCCGTTTCTGTCACTACCAACATAACTAGTGATTCAACTTTTGGGTAAAAGTTGTCAATATATTATTCTTAGGTTAGTATGTATGGGG